TATATTTATATTTATATTTATATTTGGCGAAACACGAAGTTTGAATATTATAAGAACAATATTTGAAATTTATGTATACAGGATTGTAGCACTGACCATTAGCCATATACATATTTTTAACACATGCAGATACATATATGTATGTAACTACATATGTATGCATGTAGCTATCACAGACACAGTATATGTATGTATGTACATCGGAAGTCGAATATATTATAGGCTATAAATTGCAACACTATGGTAACTCATTCCCCTTTTATAATTGAGAGAAACAAGTAATCATGCACATTGATAAGACAAATCAAATAATGTCCGGCTAAAAACATGGCCAAGTAGGGAAAGATAGCGGAGAGGGCCATGGAAACTAACCCTGCTGGACAAGAAACTTGGCAAAGCACATATAAAATGTCTCGCATTTTGTTTTTTTTTTTTTGTTTTTTTTATGATAATTAAATGTAAACATAAATAATCAAATGGTAATAATAATCACAGTACTCACTTAAATATGGAGGAGATGTTGAGCAATTGCAGGCCATATGACAAAGCAGATGAGATTTCGGGAGCACGTTTCTCCTGCACACAAAAGCAAAAATCAGAAATTAAACAAAATAATATTCATTTAGAGAGTTACTAAAGTACCTTAGGTAGTGTTTCCCGCAAACAGAAAGCAAGAAGTAGCACATCTCCCAAAGCCAAGCCCAGAGCCAAGAGGGAGGGCAAAACAAACCAAGCACCGCCGCTGGCGCTTTTATTCGAGAATATTGCAAACAGAGCACCAATCATGGGACCCACAATAAACCCAAGGGAAAAGGCAACTCCGACGAGAGCCATCCCTTTACCACGCGTCCGTACGCTGGAGACATCTGTAATGACGCTCATAGAGAGGGAGATGTTGCCTTTGCTGATACCGCCAACAACGCGCGCCAGCACAAATAAGGCGAAATTGCGGGAGCAGGCCCAGATAAAATAGGAGAGAGCGATACCCGACTGAAATTGGTAGCAATAAGTTATAGTAGTACACTGACTGGAGGTACTTTCGTGGTAACAAACATACGGCACAAATGAGCAGAAGGGGCTTCCGTCCATAGTAGTCCGAGAGGCTGCCGACAATGGGACTTGCCAGGAATTGTAGAAAGCTGAACATTGAGCCCAAGAATCCGCCAAACAGCACTGATAAATAACGTTCCGGAGCACCCAGGAGTTGCTGGAACCAACGCACGCGCGTCGTCAACCAGGCATACAAGCCGGAACTATCATTTATGCGATAATACTCCAAGAGCGAAGGCAACAATGGCAAGATGATTGTAAACGCAAGCAAATCAAAGAGGAGTGACAGGAATATTATATATATCATGGGATCAGTTTTCTCCTTTGGTGTAATAGGCTTTCCATTGTTGTTGTCTTTGCTTTCAAACAGTTGTTCCGTTTCCGGTTTTGTTATTGGTGTTGAATGGTGGCGACTCCGAATAGTGGCCATGTTATTCTAGTATGGGTGCTGAATTGCGTGCGTGTACATAAATTTATTGTTATTATTGTTGAATATGATGACACGGCGTCGACTGCATAACTGTTTATGCGGCTAACCAGTAACTTGGCAAAAACAAAAAGTAGTACGCCAAGTAACCCGCTAAGAAGCAACAGAAGTGAAAGTTGAATTCGACTGATTGTGTTCAAGCAACGTTCAGACGGTATGATGAACATTTGAATTGAGCAATATCGTGATCTTCTTGTTAGCTGAAGATACTATTTTAAATTATCTAAATAAATAATTATAAATTGGAATTTATTGAGGCAACTTGTTGTTTATCTCATCACAGCATACTACCACTGACCAGTGATACTACACAATTGTCGATAACATTAAATGAGATCAACAGGTTGTTTCAGAGCTGTATCGTTTACGCGCCCCGCGGGATAAGTGTTGCAAAACGCTCGTAAGCAGCTGTGCCAAGCGCGTTGATCAACACGCAACAATAAACTGAAATAAATAAGGAATTTTACAAAAGTGCAATATATAGGTTGGCAAAGAAGTAAATCTAATGGCTAAAGTGACGGTACAGGACATTGAGGCAGTTGATGATTATTGGGGGCCCACATTTCGATCAATACTCGAAGGTAAGTCTGTATTTGTCCAGTCGCAGCGAACCATGATGATTAACGCCCACTTCACCTCGGCGCAGGGAACAATACCAAGGCAATCAGTGAACAGTTGGAACAACGAATACGCAGCCACGATAAGGAAATCGAGCGCATATGCAACTTGTATTATCAAGGTTTTATTGACTCCATACAAGAGTTGCTCCAGGTTCGTACGCAGGCTAAACAGCTGCATGATGAGGTCCACTCACTGGATACATCGCTACGCACCATAAGCGCGTCACTTATACAGCAGGGAAACGAGCTTGTGCGAGCTCGTCAAATCGAGTCCAATGTGGCCAGTGCCATTGAGGCGCTTAAGTCCTGTCTGCCCGCTTTAGAATGCTACATAAAGTTTACACAACAGGCCAAGAACAAGCAATATTATCAGGCACTGCGCACGCTAGAGACCCTGGAAACGGAGCACCTAACGCGCCTACAGCGACACAACTATCGTTTTGCCACACAAATGCAAACACAGATACCCATCATTAAGGAAAACATTCGCCGCTCATCGGCGGCAGATTTTCGTGAATTTTTGGAGAACATACGCAAGTTTTCACCACGTATTGGTGAGCTGGCCATCACCCACACGAAGCAACTTCAAAAGCGCGATATTAATGCCATTATTCAGGAACACAAACAACAGAATAATAGTGGTGGTAGTGGCGATGATGATGGTGGCAATGTAAGCGCACAAAACTTAATCGATTTCTCACCCATTTATCGCTGCCTGCACATATATATGGTGCTTGGGCAGCGTGAGTACTTCGAGAAGGACTATCGCCAGCAAAGGCGAGATCAATCGAAATTGGTTTTGCAGCCTCCACCAAATATGCACGATAATCTCGAAGCCTACAAAACATACATTTGCGCAATTGTGGGCTTCTTTGTGGTCGAGGATCATGTGAAGAATACAGCAGGTGATGTGGTCACAAGTAGTTATTTGGAAGAGCTGTGGTCCACATCGCTGACCAAGTTCGTCAATGAGATCAGCATGAGTTCCTCCTCATGCACAGACCCAAATATATTACTACGGATCAAAAATCTTATTATGCTGTCAATTAACACCTTCAAGTGCTATGGCTACACGGTACAAATTTTATGGGAACTACTACATGATATGCGCGATCATTACAATGAGGTAAACCCATTCAATTAGATATTAAATAACCAAAATAATGCCTTTCCCGTTTTTCAGGTGCTACTACAACGGTGGGTTCACGTTTTCCGTGAGATTCTGGACAAAGAGCAATTCGTACCCATGGTTGTTCAGAACATAGAAGAGTATGAATGCATTATTGAGCGATTTCCATTTCATTCCGAGCAGTTGGAGAATGCTCCTTTTCCAAAACAGTTTCCATTTTCGCGCATGGTGCCTGAGGTTTACCATCAGGCAAAGGAGTTTATGTATGCTTGCATGAAATTCGCCGAGGAGCTGACACTGTCACCCAACGAAGTGGCCGCCATGGTGAGAAAGGCAGCCAATTTGCTGCTTACCCGCAGCTTTAGCGGCTGCCTTTCAGTGGTCTTTCGTCAGCCAAGCATTACACTAATTCAACTTATACAAATTATAATAGACACGCAGTATTTGGACAAGGCCGGCCCTTTTCTCGATGAATTTGTCTGTCATATGACGAACACAGAGCGCAGTATTTCGCAAACGCCTTCGGCCATGTTTCACGTGGCCCGGCAGGATGCCGAGAAGCAGGTGGCAGTTCGTATATGCTTCAAAATCGATGAGTTCTTCGAATTGAGCGCCTATGACTGGCTGCTGGTGGAGCCGCCTGGTATAGCATCCGCGTTCATCACGGACATGATCTCCTATTTGAGGAGCACCTTCGACAACTTCTCATACAAGCTGCCCCATATCGCGCAGGCTGCCTGTCGTCGTACCTGCGAGCACATTGCTGATAAGATCTATTCGATTTTATTTGATGAAGAAGTCAAACAAATATCTACGGGCGCACTTACACAAATCAATTTGGATTTAATGCAATGTGAATTTTTCGCCGCCTCAGAACCAGTGCCAGGTCTTCGGGAAGGAGAATTGAGTAAATATTTCCAACGTAATCGCCAGCTCCTCGACCTGCTTATATTGGAAGAATGGAGTACGTATTTCCATGACTATGGCAAGCAGGAGAATCGTTACCACTTAGTCGAACCCCAGTCGATAATCACGATACTGGAGAAAATACGAGAAGCGGATAAAAAGCCAATTTTCTCGCTGGTGCGTAAAAATGATAAGAAGAAGCTACTTGAGACTGTTCTAAAACAGCTGAGGCATATAGCGGAGCGACAGACTTAAAATGCATTCGGATAACACAGTTCAACAAAATGTAACTTTTTCAGCCCCCGATCTGATCGTTATTCTTTTTATTGCTTGGCTTACTGAAAAAAAAAAAGAAAAACAAAACAATATTGAAGCGATGATTGTATTAAGAATTGTAATTAAAAGTTAAAAAAAAAAAAAAAAAACTTATTTGTAATAGCATCTATTATTTACTAAGAATCTAATATTTACAGTCCTTATTCAATCATTTCTATTTGTTGTTTAACACAAAGTCCAATATAACGCTTTGATTACTATATTATATCGTATTTAATGAGTTAGGAATATTTATAGGCATTAGTTTGACAGCACCCAATTTCATATTGCATGAACTCGCTCGAAAAATAGATATTCCTTTTGGATAGTGCACAATTTAACAATCGTAGCAGATTAAGAAGCATAGAGCATATTAATGACTCCGAAATTTCAATGGACAGTATATACACAGTATGAATTTAATCCAACGGAAGCAGCCCATCTAATTTAAAACAGTCAATTCTGAATAAGCATTTATGTATTTGCTAGAAATTGACAGAATTAGGGAAAGTAATACCCGACGACGAATCATGCCAAGACAATGTAATCTGTCACACAAGAGAGTTTTTGAACTCATCCATTCATTTAGCACCATTAAATTTTCTTCCCAAATCTCAAAAATACAATACGAAGCAAAAGCGTTTAGTGTTGATCACACCTTCCTTAACAACCGGAGTCTTGAAGTTATCGGCGTATGAGTGGTAAAAGTGCTGAACGAATATGCTAAACGAATATAAAAAATATTTTTTAAAACAAATGTATTTTCATTTTTATCATGCATTCATTATTAGTCGCATAAAATAAATGGCGACTGTAATGTACTTGAGAGTGTTATTTAAAAATCAACTGACAGTCCCAAACAATATTTTATAACAAGATTTCATCGGGCTTCCCCTCTTTATGTTTCATATTCGTATCGGTAATTTGAGATACGGATACACAAAGCATATTCGACGTATAAATTTGATTAACTATATTTTACTTTTATTCATATGAGCTTTAAACACAGTTATTAATCATTTTTCCATTTGGGATTTGCGAGTCATTTCAGTTTATACAGAACATTCGTTAGTATTAGTTTCCTTTTGCTTTCTGGAAGTGTTTCTAGCTTGAATATGATTTCTATTTAGATGTTGAAAATTCGTACTTGGAATTTGGAAATTGGAATTTTATATTTATATACAGAAAATGCGCATTTTAAACTTTCAGCTTTAACTCAGCTTACACAGAAGAAGAAAACGAAACACGCAAACATTAAACAAAAAACGAAAGCAAGAGCTAAAAACAAATTGTATATATAATTTATAATGTGTATGTAAGTTTACGTCTATGTATGTGTGTCTGTCTGTCTGTCTGTGTGTATGTGAACATATACCAGCAAAAGTTTGTAAACTAATTTCTATTTTACGTATCGTATATGCATTACTCCGGATCCGGATTCCTTTTGTCAACTTTTCATCTCCAGGTGCTTGGGCGCATCCGCATATGTGAACTTCAAGCGAAACGCCTCAGCGAGCAGCACATTTATTTGTCGATCGGACCAATTATGCGTTGGCAGATTTTGTAGCAGCAACATGAGACCCTGCAAAATATAAAAAAAAAATTTAATAAGCATATCGAAAGTATGGTCTACACCTATAAATAAAACTCTGATAGAAGCAAATGAGCTGTTTTTCTAGCTTCAACTAACTATTTGGTAAATTACAACATTTCCTTTAAAGAGATTAAGAGAGTTACCTGAAAGTCATTTTGTTGCATTAGCTGATCCTTCCAGTGCAGCAAAAACGCCGCACACACATACAGATGGAAGAGCGCAAACCCATCCGATTCGGCCAGATACGTGTCCCACAATCGGATTGTGCAGTGGAGGGGCAGCTCGCGTGTCAGTAAATTGTTCATCCAACGAAATGAGAATTGTAGATAATCAACACCATGTGTCTGTAGATGACGATGCAAATTGACTGTAAGGCACAAAAGGCATAAAATAATCAATAAATAATATATTACAATCCATTATTTATATAAAGTGTACCATTGGAGTACCTTTGCTGTATTTATACAACTTACCATCGATACGTTGTATTAAATCCTTTAGCTGATTAACCTTCTCCTGTATGCCCAGCTGGGCAAATATGTAATTATCCTGTATGCAGTCAAGAAACTTGGATAGGCACCAAAAGGAATCGGCTTCGATAATGTTGCGCGTCTCCTCTGGCAGTTGTGACATATCGTATTTCTCAAGATCTGTATCCGGTGAGAGTGCCTCCTGCAGAAAGACTATGAAAAATGGCGTGACCAGATCGTTGATGCCTTGCACATAGCCGGAGGCGGGGTGTCGAATAGCCCATATGAAGAGTACACGCTCGAACATTTCCTGCACGAGCTGTTGCTGGAAGAGCGGTATTTGTGGATTCATGCGCGGCACGTCGATATGTATCTGACGGTACGTGTCCTGTTGTGTTTCATCCTGGCTGTCCACCTTGAAATAGTTGTGTCGCAGATCCTGATATCCTTGCCGTTTACTCTGCAGTACGGCGTTTCGCCTCTCGCTAGATGGGGGCAAATACTTTGATAGCAAACGCCAGCTAACAGCGCGCATCTGTCGGAAGAAATATAATTAATTAGAGTTAATTGTTTTTCGTTCATGATCCACTTTAAGACATTACCTTTCGCGGCACCCCCGACCAGCTTAGTTTTTTTAGTGCTACCAGATCCAATTGTGGCGAGTCCAGCAGCAACTGAAACTTCTCTATCTTTGTCTCGAATTCCCCATCTTGCGAATTGGTGCTGATTTTCTGCAACTGTGGCCGACCGGGATAGTTACGCAATCGCGATCTGTAAAGAGTTTGAGTTTTCAGATCAATCTGAGC